GTAATTTTGGATGCTTTTAAACTAATAAACACTTTTCCTAAATAATGATAGAATTCATATCATTTTGTAGTTGAATTTATTCACTAATTTTATAGTGAATAAATTCATTTGCTTGGGCAAAATAATAATAATAATAATAATAATAATAATAATAATAAATTCATCTTCGTTGAAAGAAGCTTTGCCTTGACCCTGAAAGGCTTGGATTTCTTCACTGCAGCTTACTCAGAGGATGTCCTAGCTGCCAAAAATCAATCCTCTTCTTCTTCTGCATGTTTCTTGTTCTCTTTTCAAGCTGTGAATTGGATGCAGAATTATGGTGCATTCAAAAGTAGCATACAAAGACCTGTACCAATATATGTTATAGTTCTCCATGGACCACAGATTATGGAGCATCCTAGAGCCAAACATACATATAGCCTGGATCATCTCTAGGCTATCCTACACACTTGCACATTGCTTTAGCGTATTCCCTTGTACCACTATCAATTTTTTTCCCTTGACATGTCTCATTCTAGCTATAAATGATGAGCATCATTTCCAATCGAATCTCCTGTAACATCATTTTTCTTCAACAGTATTTGTTCTTATTACAATAGTATTCTTCTCCACCTTAACATTATTGCACCGTGTTCTAAACTTTTTTGGCCGTCCAAACAATATCTTGATTTATGTATTCTTTTCGTTCACTTCAATTGATTCCTCCCTCAGGTAAATTAACTAACTTATTGCTTTATTTATATATATAGTCAAAATGTTCCTAGTTAGTTTTTATAAATTTTGAGATTAATTTATTTTTGAGTGATTTTAAGAATATATTTTCTATATTAATATGATATACCCAAAAAAAATTAATTTTAAGTGTTAGTTCCAAAATTTAAATTTTAGAGGTCACCTACAAAATGAATAATAGGGGATCCAACTTGAGTTCTTATTGCTTTTTCTAACGTTAGGGAATTTGAGGCATGCATGGAGGAAACTTTTTATAAAGCAGGTGTTAATAACTTTATTCCGGTAATTCCAACAGCGATCTTCGTAATCACATTTAGGAGCAAATTAACATTGAAGAGGGTAAGCGCGTTTTCTCTCTCCCTTTATTCATATATATAATCAAGGTGTTTTTACATTAATTTTTTTTAGTATATTTTAAGTTAATTTCTTAAAGTGATCTATCTTAAAAGCATATTTTTTATATCAATTTAATATATATAAATATTAAATTTATTTTAATGTTAAACTCAAAACTTAAATTTTAATTTTAACTTAAAAAATGGCACTTAACTATCATTAAATTTTTACTAAGTTTGAGGTTAAGCTTTTTGTCATATCATAATACAAATGTACAGTGCGAACGTGATTACCAATAAAGAGGAGTAAATAATTTTGATGAAAGGAAGCTAGTGATCTTACGTTCTCACTTATTTTGCCTTCAAAGTGAAGCAAAACATCAATTGATGCAATGGACAACAGAACGCATTTATGCTTTCGATCGGTTCTTGGTTTGCATTTAAAAAATTTAAAAACCAATTGCAGAAACATGTGTTTGCATTTTGAAAATCCATGATTGGTTTTCACAATTTATAAACAACTTCAATGTCCGTCTTAATGACTCACTACCCTTAATTACTCTTGGAAAAATTTTCTTTTCTCAATGTTTCCATCTCGCCAAACAGAAGTAATTTATTGCTCCATCTACTGCGCTGTACGCAGGGCCTGAGGCACAGCTTAGTTGATTGAATTAATCTGTTTCATCTCACACGATCACATTTACTCTAGTCTCTAGTACAAAGGGACCGACCATTTATACAACCAAAAAGCTGTTACAGTAAGGGTGAAAATTACTCCTAACAAATTTTCATGCTTGTGTACGTAATTAAAGTGCACTCCCATGTCCACGGTCCATTTCTGCAACCTACTCGACCCGTAGGTGGACTTCCCCTATACTTTCTTTCTTCTTTATTTGAACATTCTCAACAAGAAAATGAGGTCCGCGATAGTATCTATCTATATAAAGGAATATTTGAACTGACTGTTTTAATTCAGTGGATAATCAATAATTAATATTTAATAATTAATGATCATTATTATTTGTAATTCAGAATATATAATTATTCGATTAAAACCAACAACTAAGAGTTTTCTTCAAATCTGAAAACAAACACTCACTAATTCTCATTAATGATCAGTAGTTAAAGACTAGGGATAAAGAGGAATCAATTAATGCATGTACGTAGATAATTCATATTCATAGTAGTAACTAGTAAAAATACCTTTCTCTTTTACCTCCTTTACAATCTTTTGTAAGGGTGAGTAACCTTATACTCTGAGCAATAAAATTTGATCCATTAAAAAAAAAAAAATCTTGTTATTCATAAAAGGTTTGATAAACTAAGTTGAATTCAAAATTTAAAGAGCCACCAATTGTTTATTGAAAAACAGCCAGCAATTATCTACTCTAACTAAATATATTAAAGTATCTGAATTATATTTAACTACGATTATTAACTATAAAAAATGAACAATTAATTATCAATTTTATTTTACCAGCTAACTAAACACCCCTAATTAATTAGGGCCATGAGTCATCAAGCCACTATAGTTTGCCCTACAACATATGGTTGTTGCCACCCATATTTTTTTTTGTTAAGATCACACAAATTTCATTGATATTTTATTATTTTATAATTTTTAAATAATTAGTTATGATGATTGAAAATATCTATCTATAAACTAATTTTAATTTATTCAATAATAAATATTAATTGATTTATCAATT